CCTCACTCTCACCAACAACCCCTGGAAGTGTACCTGCCAACTTCGGGGACTTCGGAGGTGAGTGCACCCCCCTTGTCATCCCTAGAATCTGCTCTCCTATGGTGGAGTGAAGACACAGCATCCCTGCACTGAGACAGCCTGGGCATATGTCCTAGGTCTGCTACGTAATAGGTATGGGATCCTGGGAGTTTCCCTGCTTGTGAAATGAAGATGACAGCTCTAGACTGTCCTTGAGCCACGTCAGCCCTGGCCCATGGCTCACTGTCTCTCCCCGCAGCACCCCCACACCTCTTTCCCAACCCTGGCAACTCTCTGTCTCTCCAGGTGGCTGGAAGCCAAGACTTCCCGACCTGATGCCACTTGCGCTTCACCCGCCAAGTTCAGGGGCCAGCATATCCGTGACACGGACGCCTTCCGCAGCTGCAAGTTCCCCACTAAGAGGTCCAAGAAAACTGGCCGCCATTAAACAGGTGCGGACCAAGTGGGCATGTCCCCCTTTCCCCTCTCTGGAGATTCTAGCAAGGGAGGAGGGTATCCCAGGATACTGCCTTTCCACAGTGGGACATGCTGACCCTCTATTTTTGCAGGGAGAGGCAGGGAGGACTAGGGCTCCCCTCTAACAGGGAAGATGATACTGCCCAGACTCCCATTCTCTCCAAGCATCATCTGGGTTGTTGGACTCCTGACACCAATCTTTGCCTTACCACAGGTCCTGTCCCAGCCAGTCCTGGTGACTGGCCTCTGCCTTCTGCCGGAGACACTACTGACCTTCCCACCTGACTCCCACATTCTCCCCACAGTCTCTGCTGATGCACAGAGGTGTCCACACTTAGACACGTCCTGGCAGGGCAGTCGGGCACCTCAGTTCAAACCCAGCTCCACCTGATTGTGAGAGATCCATCACACCTGGCCCCACGCCATGGCTCCTCTCAGAGAAGCTGTTGCTGAGACCTTGAGTCCTTCAGAACCAGAACAAGGTGGTCATCAGGATGGCCCCACCCTTCCAGAATCCTCCTTCTTCTGCTCCCTTTTCCCTGCCATTTGGAAACAAACATCAGATCTTTGCACTACTCCTTGCTTCCAGAAAGGGTCCTAAGCCCGGCCCCCGCCTTCCAGGACACTCTAGCAGGACACCAGTGCTTGGCCGCATATCCTCCTATGCTGCATTTCTTCCCCAGATTTCCATATATATAAATTTATGTATGTATAATATTTACTCCCGTCACCTATCTCCATGACTCGCCAGCTGCTGATAAGGTCGGACTGCGTTTTCTCACATCTGCTTTCTGGAATGAGGCTGGCCAAGAGGGTTGGTCTTCCTTGGCAATCTGGTGGGGGCTCATTTCCACTCCCATCAGTCTGTTCTCACCCCAGGCCTGGGCTGTCCCCCACCCAGGTCTTGCCTCCACTCACCACCAGCTCCTTCATGTTCAGCTTGTTGACAATAGTTCGAATCAGCTCTGGGGGGGCAGGGGACCCAGCAATCACACCTGAATCAGAGAGAGGGCTGACGTAGCTCCCCCCTTCTCCAGGCCCAGCGGACCCCCTTCACCGACAGCTTCTTCTAAGGGAAGAACATTCCTTTCTCTCCCCTGACTGTAGACCTGTTCCTACACCTGGCAGTTAGTTTTGGGTTGGTGTCCAGGGGCTCTGGGGATTTGCCTCCCTCCCACCCACATTTCTACAGTGACTTTCTTGTCCCCTAAATAAAAGATTGGGTGCAATTCTAGGTGACTGGGCCAATCCTGGCCTGGCCCCCTTGGCCCTATCCCACCTCCACACATGGCCGAGATGTCGTAACTGGAGAAGTCTGGCTGGTTCAGAATGTCCACGAACATTGTGGGAGTGCCATACAGGAAGGAGCCTCTGTGTTGGGGTGGGGGTTCTCAAAATCAGGCCTGGAAGTGGAAGGGAGCCCCCACTTCTAACCCACCCACCCCTGAATTTTCAGTAAGGGCCAAGGCTGCAAATGTGGGGGATGGGAAGGAAAAGCTCTTTGGAGGCAGGAACTGTTTCTCTCCTGGGGGTTCCCCACTACCCTGTCTCCATCTCTCCTGGCTGGAAAGGGGAGACATCTTGGAAAGGGATCAGGGCCCAGGAGTGAGGGATAGGAGGGGTTCATCAGCCCGAGGGTAGCTGCCCACCGATGCCCACCTCTCTCGGCTGATGGCCTCCAGCGCCTTCTTGCCATCAAAGATGGGAGAGGACAGGATGAGGGTGACGCCGTACATCATGCTCACAATGGTGCCCCCCACAGAACCCAGGCAATGGTACAGGGGGCTGGGCAGGACCACCCGTGATGACTCTGGTGTCTGGAGATGGAGGCAGGAAGCTAGTTCTATCCGGGAGCCAGAAGCCCTGGAAGCCAGTTGCTCTAGCCAACAGGGGGAGCCCAGCAAGACCCCCACCCCTGCAGAGTGCCGGTAAACCTTGGCCTGGCCAGCAGCCCCTCACCTTCATGTGCAGTCTCAGGCGCTCCCCTATCATATTGGAATTGTTGACAATGTTGTGATGGGAAAGGGTGGCCCCCTTGGGGCTTCCAGTTGTTCCCTGGCAAGACAAGCAGGTGGCGCTTGGTCTCCTCCCCATCTCCTTTCCACCCTGGGCCATTGCGTGGAAGAGCATGGGACTGGGAGGTAGGTAACTGGGACTGTTGGCCAAGATCCGTTCATTCATTCAATATGTATTCACAAAGGTTTACTGCATGCCTGCATGGTGCCAGCTGTTAGGATCCAAAAACGTGGAAGATTCGGTCTGCCCTCATGCCACTCATAAAATGGCTCAGAGAACTCTGGCCCGCCTGCAGATTCCCTCTCTGGGCCTCAGTTTCCTCATCTGCCAAATGAGGGGCAGGCGGTACCAGCCCTTACCTGTGGTGGTACAGGGCATCTTCCCCAGAGGGCCAGAGGAGGGGGCATATGACAAGGACACCAACAGTTCAGGTTTTTCAGGGCACAGAAGACAGGGCCACCCCACGAGAAGAGGGTCTGCACTCTTGACCCCCACTGCTGTCTCCCAATACTCGTGAAAGGGTCAGAGGGGCAGGCAGGGATCAGTATGCTAGCCTGGGCTTCAGGCATGGACAGCTCTGCTTACCGAGGTGAACTGGATGTTGATGGGGTCGTGGCAGGACAGGAACTGCTGGGTGTGCCAGAGCCGGGCCAGATGCTGCTCTTTGCTGCCAGCTGCTACCACCTCATCCAGAAGCATGGTCCCTGGCAGAGGGGCATCCACTGCGATGACTGTGGTCAGATCTGGGAGCCTGGGGGTGGGAGCAGGGGCAGAGGGAGGGCCCATGGAGACATCAGTCTCATCCCTGGGGGTGGGTAGCATGTGAAGGGGCCAGGATGCCACACTATGTCCCCTTCCCACCCTGGGATACCCCCACCTCTGACTCTTCAAGGCCCCTGGCTGGGCCTTCTCCAGCTCTGGACATATCTGCTTCAGGATGTTGTAGTACTGCTGGGTCTTGAACTGCTTGGGGAATACTAGAGCTTTGCAGCCCACCTGTGGAAGTGGAGGCCCCACCACAGTCAGCAGGATTCCCAGGCTGAGGGTCTGGGGAGGCCTCACTAGCAGATGCTGTCCTCCTACACACATACCACTACCCCAACACACCCGGGTACCACCCTTTAACACACACACACCCCAACTGACTTACACAGCACCTCCAACACATTCACATGCACCAACCCCAGGACACACACACACCATCTCACACATGCACCTCCACCAACCACCCTCTCCTCCCATCCACAGAGAGGCGGGGAAGGACAGACTCTGGGTGTCGCCCACTTGTGCATGCCCTCCCCACCCTGGCAGCCCTCTGGGACACCAGAGCCCCCTTTGCCAGGCCCCACCCCAGGAGCAGGTCCTACCTTTTTGAGGGTATACTCCAGCTCCATGGCCTGGTAGGCTGGATTCACAGACACCTGGTAGAGACAGTGAGGGGGTGTCAGTGTCCTGAGCAGACCCTGTCCCTCTTGCGGCCCCTCTACCCTCAGGAGGCACAGAAACACCGTGTAGACAGGCAGCACCCTACACCTCTGGGTCTCCTTGGTGGGTTTTGGGAGAAAGCACTTCCTGATTTAAAACAAACCAGACACTGGTCTGGTCCTGGGACCAAAGGGCTGGGAAGCCCCCCACTGAATGATGCCACCCACATACCCAGCCATGCCAGGCAAGCCCATCCTCACCAGAACAATGCCTGCCTGAGCGGTGGCCAGCTGCATGAGCACCCATGCACAGGAGTTGGGTCCCCACATGCCCAGCCATGCCAGGCAAGTCCATCCTCACCAGAATGATGCCCGCCTGAGCGGTGGCCAGCTGCATGAGCACCCATGCATAGGAGTTGGGTCCCCACATGCCCAGCCGGTCACCCTTGCAGAGGCCGATACTCAGGAGCCCAGAAGCAGCTTTGTCCACCTGGTGTAAACAGATGGGGCCCAAGGGGTACAATGCAGGTAAACAAGCGGGGCCACTGACTGCCACCTCAGCCTTTGGGCCAGGGGTTCACATCAGAACCACCTAGCAACAAGGGTCAGGCAGATTCCCGGGTCTCAGTAGGGCTTGATGGAGTCTGGGAATATGCATAGTTAACAAATGCCCAGGAGCAACTGATGCAGGTGCTATCAGGCCACCTCTGCCTCCATCATGGTCTCCTTCTCCTTCCATCCCTTGGGGTTCTCAGGCAGCCCCAGTGCCCTGCCCCACAGCCAGGTTCTCCCAAGGCTCTGCCTGGCTAGCGCAGTTTGGGGGCTAGACCTGCCCACTTTGAGTGTTCAAGTTCAAGACCCACCTCCTCCTTGAGCTGGGCAAAGGTCAGCCTGATGTTTTCATGGAGGACAACCAAGGCCTCTTGGTTTGGGACTCTCTGTGCAGTGGCATCCAGGCACTGCCCCACGGTCTTGTTCATCAGATGCAGTTTGGTGCTGCCCTGAATGTAGCTGAGGCCTCCAATGGGCAGGGGGGCAGTGCAATCTTCCTCTGTGGAACTGTGGGAGAGGGGCTATAGGCTCGACGGCACCAGGCTGAGCCTCCCTGGCACCAAGGTCTGGCACACCCAGCTGGGCAGTGGGCTGCTTACAGTGTGGTAGGGACCACTCCAGAAACTCTCCGACCTCACCCCTCCCAGGAACCACCACCTGATAAAACAGCTCAGTTATTCTGTAACCCTAAAACTTGCTAAAAGATAGTCTTTTAATTATTAAGACAAAAAGAGAAACAGAAAAGGCCCCTGGAAGTAAAACTATCATATGGCTGGCTTAGGCCTGCGTTTGCTCATGTGATAGCGGCTGGGTTCCCACCCAAGCCTAGGTGGTAGAGGGACAGGACCCAGACCCTGTTCCCACCAGACAGGGCACACCTGGGCTCCCTGGGAGAGGGACTGGACTTGGACCCTGTTCCCATCAGACAGGGCACGCTCAGGGTCCAGACCTTCTGGGCCACCTCCAGGCCACCAATGGGTGGTGTGGATCCTGATTAAATTCTACAGCTGTTGCGCTAAAACACAAAGACCATGCCTATCTTTTGTTGATAGGCTGCTTATGCCAGCTGGGGGAGAAATTCTGGGAAGGACAAGATATGCAGGGCAGGAGGGAGCACAAAAGACTGCAAGGCAGAAAGTTCATCTCTAATTCGAATTCTGGTACCCCATCAGGGGGTTTGTGTTTGTTGTGGGGGGTGGGACCTGGGGAAAAAAGGCTGGGATAGTCTTAGGCACAAAGCCAGCTGTTGGAGCACAAAGGGGTGGGAAGGCGAGGGGAGCATAGAAGCAGGAGGGCACAAGACTGGGTTTCCCTGTAAATGGGAGAGGAGACCCTGCCATCTCACAGAAAGGCGAGCCTGTGGCCACGAAGACAGAAGGCTGCTCTGATCCGACAAGAGCAGGGAGCCAGGGAGGAGAGGATGGGCCGCATGGTGGGGGCACTGCCACAGCTTCGGGGGAGCAAGCGAGCTCCCAGCTGGGACTGGGTGTCTGTTCTCATCACAGGTGGGCTGCTGCCTGGCTGGGCCACTGTTGCAAACACCTTTGGTATCCCATGTCACACCTCCACAGTGCATCTCTGGTTTCAGCTACTGGGACAGTTCTTTGGGCTTCTGTCTGCTCGGGGACTTCAAGTCTCCCCTTCTGCTGCTGGACGGTTCTGGGAGGTATCTGTACCTTTTCAGAGATCCCGGTGGGTAAAACCCTTATTGCGAGGGTGACAAGTCCAATACCATGCCCTATACTGGCTTCTCTGCATGTCTTGCTCTCCCCACACCCTCACTCCTGCTTCCAAGGACCACAAACAAACCCCCTGCACCTTTATCCCTGTTGTTGGGGGAATTCAAATTAACACACAGGATTTCTCCTCTCTAGGCTTCAGCTTCCCCACCTATAGAGTTTAGGGACTGGATCAGTGGTTAGTCTCAAGTGAAAGGGGATATTATCTAAATTACCTGGTTAATCTTTTCAAAGGGGTGTGGTGAGCCAGAAAGCCAGTGGTGTGCTGGGGATGAGATCACCCAGGTCTCTGACATCCTGTGAGGCCCCAGGCCACACTATCCTTAAATTGATGAGCCTAAAGAACTGCTGAGGGAGTTCCCAGTGGTCACTATTCTACCCGTTAAGAGGGATTAAAGACACCAAATCCCATACTGTGGAGGGCATCCATTTTTGCCCACAAGGAAACAAGTATGCTGTTTTGAGTTTGCCAAAGTGACAGTGGCAAGAACAGGCATGTGGGAAGAACCTGCTTAAGAACAAAGTCCACACAGGGGTGGAGGGAGAGAGAGGGGGAAAGAGACGGGCAGAGACAGGGGGACACAGTAGCAGACCTAATCTTGAGGTTGGTGAATCCTTAGGTCCCGCCACGTGTGACGGCTACCTGCCTCTGGACTTTGTACTGTCAAAAGCCAACAAATTCCCTCTTTAAACTTCAGCCAGTTTTGGGGAAAAAAGTCAAATTCCACTTGTGACAACACAGATGAACCTGGAGGACAATATGCTAAGTGAAATGAGTCACACACAGAAAGACAAATATTGCATGATCTGACCTAGATGTGGAATCTAATAAACAAACAAAAATAAATTTAAGCCAGTTTGAGTTGGATGGTTGCTTGTTTAAGGCTGGTGCATCCTAACTATAGCTACATTTTCCCCATTCGGTGCATAACCAGTGTCCTGGAGTCCTGGCAGGCCACCACCCACAGCCCAGCATCTGGAGTAGGAGGCAAAAGGCAACACCGGGCCACTTCAATGGTTTCATTGCTAAGCAACACCTGGCCACTTTAATAGTTTCCTTGCTAATCAAGTGGGGCGGTTTGGTCACACAACAGGAATCCTCCTGTTCTTACAATGACCAGGAGTCCAATTCGACTTGGAACCTGGATTTCGATTTACTCACCATGGCTTTTAAACCAGACAGTGGTCTCCTGGAATTTTTAGTTGGCAAATTAACAGGCTGATTTATGTGCCAAAAAGAAAAAACAACCCAGTTCAGTCTTCCCCGGTGGCACCCCTTTTTCTTCACAGCAGCTCCGACAGGTGCTGTGACAAACATCTCCAGTGGGCCTTCTCCCTGAGTAAATCTTCTTCCAGGATTTAACTGCCCATGGCCACATGGAATAGAGAACACATTTCCAAGCTTCCCTGGCAGGCAGTCTGATCCAACAGTGAAGTTCTGGCCAATGAGATTTTAGGAGAACAGCCTTTAAAGGGAAGGGGTGTTTTCCCTTTTCCCTTTCCCCAGCTGGCACACTGCCTGTCGCTGGAAAAGAATGGCAGCTCTCTTGGACCACATGATGAGCTTGGGCACCACAGAGCAATAAGGCAGAAGGGGCCAGGAGCCTTGACAGCAGGATGTACTATTCTAGTCACAGACTCCCATCTCTTGAAAGCCACAGTGGTGAGAGTGGCTTTCTCTCATGTACACTAAGCAGATCCTAACAAATCCAGGTGGGAATTATGCATTCCCATTCCATAGGTAAACAACTGAAGTGTAAAGAGGCCAAGTGGCCCGGCCCAGCTAGTGAATAAACTGAACCAGAAGTGGAGAATCCAGTGTAACCGCCCCAATGGTTCCAGCTAAGCCTACCCCCTCACCCCACTTGGACCTGGGGAGAAAGGAGTAGGATGGACAGTGCTGTTTTTCAGGCTTTGAATTTATCCCCTATCTGATCACCAGAGATTGTCTAGCCTCAAATTTATATTTTCCACAACTGTTTACTAATTGAACCTAAGAAACTGCGACTGGGGAAAGGCAGAGGTGAAGCGGAAACAGGTGTCTCCTCCAAAAGTTTTAAGGGTTGTAGAAACTCACATAAATGCCATTGGAGCATAAACATAAGAACCACCCATCATTTCGAAACCCCAAGAACAAACAGAACTGATTCTACTTTCCTCCTTTCTTAAACACACCCCAAACGCCTTGGGCAAAAAAGGCGGCCTCTAGTTTTTCTATTCTTAAACAAAGGGGCAGACATCTCATTCAAACCTGAAAAAGACAATAAGGAAGTTTGGTTTTAGGAAAAGTTGTTAGTTAGTTTTGTTTGCTTTTTTTTTTATGGGTGGGAAGCTCCAGGGTTAGAGGAGGTCAGTCTGTAGTCCCAGCTGCTCCCAGCTCGGAAGACTGAAGTAAGTAACCCCCTTTATCTATGAATTCACTTTCCAAGGTTTCAGTTAACCTGAGGTGATCCTCCTTCTGACCTACTGTTAGAAGGTCAGTGGCAGCCTATCCTGCTCACAATGTCTACGTCATTCACCTCACTGCCTCTCATCATGTAGGCATTTTATCTCACATCCTCACAAGGGGAAGGGTGAGTATAATACAGTCAGATATTTTGAGAAAGACAGAGAAAGAAACCACATTCTCATCATTTTTATTATAGTACATTGTTGTAATTTTTCTATTTTATAATTAGTTACTGTTGTTAATCTCTTACTGTGCCTAACGTATAAATTAAACTTTATCATAGGTGTTGTGCACATGTGGGAAAAAGTAGCATGTATAGGGCTCAGTACTATCCTCAGTTGCAGGCGTCCACTGGAAATCTTGGCCGGTGTCCCCCCTCTGAACTTTTCTTACCCTGTGGATGAGGAGGGATTTAGTGAGACCTCCAGGTGCTTGGATTGGGAATTAAAACACAAGTCCCCAGCTGGGACCAAAGCTATGTAAATCAGCCAGCTGGCAGCTGTGAGGAGCTGGAGGCAAAGCACAGCCCCACCTAAAGGTGCCCTCAAAGGGTTGGCACGTGAGAATTCAGGCTCAGATCTGCCACCAGATCCGACTTCAGGAAACCGTGGTTTTTTTAAAGACTTCTTTTGACTTTTCATTGGCAACGAATGTGCTCACTGTTTTATCCCCAGTGCCTCCTAGTGCTTGCAATATAAGAGGTACTCAACTGAATGACCGAATGAATGAATTATGAAAAAAAAATCATGCACATAACAATTAAAACACTGAGCAAAGGACTCAAATAGACATTGTTCCAAAAAAGATATATGAATGGCCAACAAACACATGAAATGCAAATTAAAACCACATGAGACCACTTCACATCCACCCAAAAAACTATAATAAAAAAAACCCACCAAGTGCTGATGACTCTGAGGAGAAACTGGAACCCTTGTGCATTGCTGGTGGGGAATATAAAATGGTGCAGCTTCTGTGGAAAACATCTTGGTGGCTCTCCATAAAGTTAAACACGGAGTGTCCATATGACCCAGCAATTCCATTCCTAGGCATATACACCCAAAAGAATTGAAAATGGGTGGTCAAAGACTTGTACATGAATGTTCACAGCGATACCATTCACAGTAGCCAAAAGGTGAAAATAGCCCATTGGGTCCCACAATGCATAAATGGATGAACAAAATGTGGAATATTATCTGCCATTGAAAGGGATGATGTATTGATACATACTACAACATGGATGACCCTTGAAAGTATTATGGTAAGTGAAAGAAGTCAGACACAGAAAGCCAAATGCTGTATATAATTCCATCTATATGAACTGTCAAGGCTAGGCACACCTATAGAGACAGCAGGTTAGGTGGTTGCTTAGGGCTTGTGGGGAGGTGTGGCAGGATAGAGAGATGATAGCTAAGGGTATGGGGTTTCTTTTTGAGGCCATGAAAATGCAGGGAAGTGTCCAAGCTGGGATTCAAAGTCAGGACCCTTGCTTCGAAGGCCTTGATACAATACAAAATAAAGCCTTACAGAGCCTTATGGCTTAAAAAGGGTTTCCATGTGTGTATGTCATATGATCCCCACATCACTCTTGGACCATCAAAGGATTATTCCTTTTCATGGATGAAGAAATGAGATGTTCATTTTTCTTAAGGTCCTAAATCTGGTGGGCAGCAACCCTGCCCCCTTTCCTGCATATACTGCTCTTTACAATGCAGCTCATCCATAGTCTTCCCTGGGGGCCCTGGAGGCCTGGAGCAGAAAACCTGAGGGAGATGGAGGCCTGAGTGCTACAGGCCATGGAGAACCATCCCCACTGGGCCCCCTCCCCTCAGCCCTCCAGCACATGCTGGCTATTTTCCAGGATTTACCTGTGGTATCTGATTCATTTCTGCTTCCTCTGATCTCTGTCCTGTTCTCACGGTTTCAGCTTACCTCTCCTGGCACCAGCCACAGTGGTTTATGCCCTAATTCCACACCTCTGGTTACACCAACCTGGAAAGCCTGTGCCCCAGCATTGGCCCTGCCCATCCAGCCTGGCCTTCCAGCAGGACCTAGACAGAAAACAACGGCTGGCTGGCTTGGGGAGCTCTATGGAAAACAGCTGAGGCATCAGTGACAGTCAAGTGCTAAAGTCAGGGATAAAGGTCACTCTGAGCTGATTAAGCAGAACTGAGCCCTGGAGGAGCCGTGGGAGGCAAGGACAGGTCTCCAGAATCCACTTGGAGGAGAAACTGTTTTGCCTCCTGTTTTATATTACCTGCTGGGAGGAGGTGTTTGGGATCTGGGCCAGAGGCTTGCAGGTGGACCCTGCCTCTGCTGGAGGATGAAATTAAGAGGCAAGACCTCTTAATCCTTTCAGAAGCTACCAGGAAGGGAGGGTGGTTAGATGTGAGGGCCCCATCAAAGGACAGGAACATCCCCCACACTAAGGCTGACTTCTGCTCCCCTGAGCAAGGTGCCATGCCAGCCACCAGAAAGAAGGCTTTAGAAGTGAAGGCAATAGCTGGCTTTTGTCCCAAGTCATGGACTAGCCTCTGCCCCTGCCACCACAGCCACTTGATGCCAGGCTGGTCCCCAAGCCCTAAGAAAAACATAAATTATCGACAAAACTAAAAGACAAGCAACTTCCTGTGTTTACAAATTTCATTTTATATATGAGACAAAGGATTCATATTTTGTCTATATTTCAAAAACAAAACAAAACCCACAAACCAATAAGGACAAGTAATCCAACACATTAAATGGGCAAAGAATACGAACACAATTCACAGAAGACATTCCAAGAGATGCCCAATCTCACTGGTAATCATGAAAATGCAAATTCAAACCACAATGAGATACCCTTTGCCCTGACCATAGTGGCAAACACTTCAGTGTTCGGTAATACCAAGTATTTGCAAGGATGTGGATAAATGGGATAAAGGGTGACTCTTGGTTGCTACTGGTGGTCTGAGCAATACAGCCTCTCCAGGGCAATTTCTAGAAAAACTGAAAATGTTAACCCTTTAACAGAGCAATTGCATTGCTAGAGACATAGTCTTACAGTGGACTACTATACAAGAATACTCTAGATCTATAAATCTTAATGTAAACATCTCAAAAACACCAGTGAGTGAAAAAAGAGTGCTGTGGTACAATTATTGCTAAAATTATAGAAGCATAAGTATTGTTTATAGATACAAAAAATAGGAAAACTAAGAGCACTTACTGCTTGCTTGACATGATTCTAAGTGCTTTACTAATAATACAATATATTGTTTATGGATTCAGAGATATGTTAAAAGCAAATACCATGTTCTGATATGACATACATTAAATTTAGAACAGTGGCTCTCTAGTGAGGGATGGGTTGGAGGAGGATTATAAAAGGTTATTTATAATAAAATTTTTCTTCTTAAACATTTCATATGGAAAAAAGATTTTAAACAGAATCACATGATAAAAAATAATAAATAAACAAAAGGAAAGAATCGAGAGGCCAGAAGGAGTTCATAAGTCTTTAAGCACAAGTAAGACTTCATATAAGTATGAAGGCTTCATACTTTGCAGCCCCCTTGAACTTAAAGATGAGACTCAAAGCCCAGCCTCCTTTGAAATCACAGAATGTCAACAGAAATGAAGAGTGCTTCCTGTCCAAGTGGTCTATTTACAAAGAAACCAAAGTCCAGCAAGTTTGGATGACTTGCCTAAAACCATACTGAAATAAAAGTGGTAGGGCTGGGACTTGACTTCCTGTCATTTGATTCCCAAATTGAGAAACACATGCAGGCCAATGAGGTTCACAAAATGTGATTTGTAAGCTAGAAACCACAACCTGTTTAGTGCCTAAGGGAGAAGCACCTGGCAGAATTCTTGGTACCTGTCATTTATCAGGACACTCTCCTTGCCAGGCCCACTGAGGAGATAAAATTACATTCTGCACTTCGGTTGGTTGAACATATGATCAGGAAAAAAAAAGCAACCATTTATCTCAGCATGATCACAGGCCGGTCAACACATCCTGAGCAGCCCAACTTGGTTTAGGCAGTTGCCTTGTCAGAACCATCTCCCTCCAACCTTCCAGACAAGATTACAAAACTGTGGGTCTCAGGGTCATTGTAGGGATGTGCAAAATCACTGTTACATAAGCACTATTTTATACTAACTAGCTCATCACTGCAGTGGGTTGAAGAACTTGGCACCAGTCTGTGGGTTGAGAATTTCCTTAAGTGACCCCCTCACAACTGACAACATCATTTACAGATCAGAGTCAAGTTTAACTTGGTCCCAAAGCCACCAGCTAGAAAGTGTTTCATTTGAACCCAGATCTGTCTGGCTCTGAAGTTTGTGTGTGTAGATTGACTACATAAAATAATATGGGGGAAGTTAGGAGGGCTTCATACCTCGAGTTCAAAAGAGTTCAAGCACAAGCAAGATTTCCTACAAATAAATAGGCTTCATGCCTTAAACTACAGCCCTGTCCTTGGAGAGATCACAGGCTCAAACCCCAGCCTCTTTAGGAAGTCTTCCCTAATCCCATTCCCACCAATCAGATTCTTCTCTGCTTTGACTGACATCCTCCATGGTACAGCACCCTTTCTGCCTTGAATCAGTGAGTCTCCTTCCCCTGTAGACCCCTTCTAGGCAAAGAACTTGGTGAGCAAGCTCATTCATCTTTGTATCCTCACGGCACCCTACACAGTAGATTGCACATCTACTGCGTGCAAGGCAGGGAAGTAACTAAAACTACCAGGTAATTAAAGCTGATGCATACCATTCACTGATTACAATGTCCAAGTTTATAGTTCATTTTCTTTTGTTACCTTTAGACTGGAGGATTTCCAGTGCAATATGTAGGGACGTCATTACCAAATCACTTGTTAGTCAGCTTTGGGGAATTAGAAGAGTCTATTTTTTATAACTATGCCGGTTTCCACCCAAAACACTTCCTGGCTTAGTACAATCTCATCATATAGGGACAACATTTTATAGTTTCAGATACTGGTCCCACGTAGCTATCCCCCCGAAGGGTGGTCCCTGAAGCCCACTTATCCCTCTGCCCCTACCATCAGGGTTGAGTCTCAAAAGGCCTAGTCTGCACATCACATCCAGTTCTAAGAGGTTTAAGCCACTGCTCTCTCTGTCTCACCCAGCTCTGAATGCTCCCAACATTCTGCATGCAGCTGCCTCCCAGGCCAGCTTTAGAGATCTGGAGGAAGCCTGCTCATCTCAGGTTCATCAAGGAATCAGTGTTGGATTCCTCCCTCCAAGCTCCTGGATGCCCCCAACTAGCCTATCTGCCTTCCTCGGGGGAGGGAAGGAATTGGTGGTTCAGGAGATCTGGAGCGCAATAGACAGTTTCTTCTTTTCTTCTGGGGAGAAAGGCCTGGACAGCCCTGACTCTGATGCACAAGGAAGTATCCAGCAGATGGAGGATGGGACTTGTGGCTGGGCAGAAGCTACCATCTTGGCAAGTGGCCAGGAGAAAGAACCAGGTGCCAGAGAGAGGCCTCTGAGGAGAGGATCCTCTCCTACTTCAAATCAGTTGGAATTTCTATCCAGATGCCATTTCTCAGGGATCAGCCCTGCCTCTAAGGGAAGGCTGAGAAGAGCACACCTTTGTCAACTCAGCAAAAAGGTAGCATTAACCACAAACTCACCAGGCTCAGATGTTACATAATACACTCAAGGTCACATGGTGAGTAGGTGAAGGAGCCAGGGCTGGCTTCAAGATTCTTGCTCCTGACTAACAGGCAAAACTGGGAATTTACTAAGTAACAGATGAGGGGTGTTGCACAGCAGGAAAGCAGGTGATATGTGACCAGATCAGAATAAGCAGAGGACGGAAGTCCAGGAGTTTCCACATCATGGCACCTTAGAACACAGTGATCCCCTTGGCTTATCTTTTCTCCCACTAGACTGCAAGTTTCCAGAGAACTGGGTTCTTCGGCTTCTGTGTCCATAGTACCTGGTGTTTGACTTGACATATGTGCTCAGGAATGTCTGGTGAATGCTTGAGACTCTTGAGGGGGAAAGTAAGAGTGAGCTTTTCCTTCTGAAGGAGAAAGTAGGAGTGAAATCAGGCCAAACCACCATAGTCAGCACGTAAAGGTTCAAGCCAAGGGTGTGGGAGGAATGGGAAGGAATTAGGTCAAATGCTCAGGAAGTCTTATCACTCTGGACACATGGATCTCCACCTGAAACAGAATCAAAATTTTTCTGAGGCTTGGTGATCTTGCTCTGAGGTACAAGGCCTGTAGCAGGAAAGGGTCTTGCTTTGTTTACACACAAAAAAGTCAAAGGCCAGGAATATTGCCATGCGGCCAGACATGGCCTGAGTTAGCATCATAAAACAAGTCTACTTCTGGAGGTACCTTTCATTAGAGCACTCACAGTCTAAGGGGGGTGGGTGCCCAGGAGTGAAGAGGTGGGGCAAGCTTGGGGGTAGCAACAGCAGAGCTTGCTAAGGGAGGCACAGGGAGGTAGTGAGCACAGAGCTAGAAGAGAACCCAGCTCTCTTCATCAGAATCCCATCAACTGACCAGCCTTGAGCCACTGGGTTTTCCAGAAAATTAGGCATAGTGATCTTAAAGCATCGCATGCTTTCTAGTTTTCAGGAACCAGCAGTTCAAAAGTTGCAGTCTTGGAGCTCTGGCCAGAAGAGGAGGTTGCATCTCCCAACAACTACCAACTATTCAACCCCATCCAATTTCTCTCTTCCTTCCTTCCTCCCTCCTTCCCTTCCCTCCCTCCCTTTCTTCCTTCCCTCCTTCTTCCTTCACTCTCTCCTTCCCTTCTTTCCTATCCTTTCTTCCATCACTTCTTTCTTCTTTCAAATCAAGCAGTTCTCTCAGACAAAGCCTTCTTGGGCTTCTCCCCTTTCCATACCCAAGCCCACACTCCATCTGGTATCCAAAACTGGGTCCCACCTCAGACTTGGTACCTGGCTCAGCTAGGTGACAGGGCAGGCTCAGTGGTTCCCACGCCTCCCGGTTGCTGG